GGTCCCTGTAGGAATGACCTTGAGGGATTTTTCTTCCCAAATGTATCTAATTGCTGCTTTATGAACCGTTGAGGGCTTCAAGCTTCCATAACATTGGACAGCAAGAAGTTCCCTAATGTACCACTACATACAAGCAGAAGTAGGGCACTGAACAGAGTGAGCCCAGCCAGAGATGAGAAGAAGGTAACATCTGGGGCAAGGGAGTGAAAATACCAGCAGGAACTGGGATTGATGTTACTGACCCAGCCTTCAGCACAAGCATGACAGAAGAAGGTGGAGGGAATAGCGTTGTGCTTGAAAGGTAAGATTTATGGTGGCCAGATGAAGAGGTTAGAAGAGCAAGTACAGGAGTCAAGCTTGTTGAAGTAACAATGTGGGAGATAAGTCTGAGAAGGGCTTTTACTGTATGCTAAATATCTGGGAATAATGTAAATTTGAGAAGTACAAAAGATGCAGGAGAGAAGAAAAGGGACAGAGGAGAAGGCACTGTAGGTCCAGCTGAGGTGCCTGTCTCCTCAGCATCCCAGCTGTACCAGTAGCCCAAACCAGATGTTGGGGAAGAACATGAAAATAATGAATCTGTGTTTCTCTATTGGCTGCTTCCAGGGACGTCCTGAGACATAGAGCTTTGGGTTTTTCACGTTCAGTAATCTTTGACATACTATTTAATTCATTTTTCTAACAACTTTCTGAATCTTGCTTGCTCTGAATCTCCCCTGAATCTTTTCAGTTAGTCTGGGGCTTTCAGCTAGCCCCGGGGTGGCTTAGCTACCTTCATGCTAGCACATATTTTGGGACTGAAGCGATGGTGAGAACCATGGCTCCTGAAGTCCTTTCAAAGCTGAGCTTGATGGAGATGGGAGGGAGGGATTGAGGGTGAAGGAGATGGGAGACCTCTGTGTCCAGTAATTATTACAAAAGCACCACTGAGCTGGGGCTGCTTTTCCCATGCCATCTGCAGGATGCTGCCAAGTTTGTGACTCGCTGAAGAGATGCCTGCATAGTGTTTGTGAAATCAAATGTGACAGTAAAATCTGCTTCTGAGGACAGTACAAGTGGCAGCATGGGAAGAAATAAAACATCTTTCTCAGCTTTGATTCCAGTGCAGGATGGCACATAGGAGTAGCATGCTGAGGGGCTCTTGAAGTATCAATCCATTTCTGATCAAGAGCTTCAGAGTGTGGGTAACATCTTCCTTGCCATGGGGCTCCCAGGCAAGGATGCCACTAGCAGCCCTCTCTTTGGCACTGGTGCAGGTTAACACTGTTCTGTATTGCTGCAAGGAGGGTGCTGCACCTGGTCAGCAAATGCTCAGACCTGCTTTCAGTGAGCCCTTCCAGTGTGAGTCAAGCAGTGATTTCAAAGGGGAGCCAAAGGCGAGTGGCTTTGTAGAGGAAAGCAAAATCTCTGCTGTGCACATAAAGCACAACTGCTCAAACCCCAGTGAGCATCTGCTGTGAGCAGCTGTGGGTGGCTTTATGCTCTGCTGCTTTTGCATTGGCCCTGCCAGCTCCATGTAGGGAAACTTATTTTATGTTGCAAGGAGAAGAGCAGAGCTGAGTTCAGTGGGTGATTGGAGTGTTGACGTAGGGTCAGTGTGACTCAGTGATGTGCCAGATCCTCTCTGGCATCTGCAGAGCCTGCTGCAGTGTCTCACACTGCTGTGATGTTATTTGGTGTCATAATTTGAGTAAACTTGAAGGTTGTGGTCATTGTGGTTCTTGTTATTTCACATCTCTAGTCTCATATTAGTCAATAGTCAATCCACTTCCAGATTACTGAGCCTTTTTCTGACTTTTAGAATTTCCTCTCCCACTAGATACAGCCATTTCTGAGACAATTCATCCCTCAAAATATGTGCATCCCCAAAAGTCACTTGGCATTTTGCCTTTGTGTTCAGTGGGGCCAGGGAGTCCCTGTTGTCTTCCTGTGTAAGCAAATACATCATCTGCCTCCTCAGCTGTCCCAGGAGGTTGTTAGAAACCTGCAAGTGGCATGCAGGGTTGATGTCACATGGGGGACTTGAGCTCTTGTTCAGTCTATCTTATTTTATACCCTTTTTCTTTTCTTGAGTGTTTTTCTCATGACTGTGTGTCATTGTGTCAAGAACCAGGTGCTGGAAAGAGCTTGCAAAAGGCAAAAATCATATTAAGAAAAACTCTCCTTCCTTCTCCTTTTAACTGATTGAAGGCTCTGGCCACATTATTGCCATTTGCTGCAATTTGTGACACCTGTGTCCTTTTTCTGTATAGATGGTAAAGAAATTTTACTTTACAAATGAAGAATGACATGCTGGACTCCTCCCAGCCTATTTCACCTTGGGGCAGGGAAGAAGAGTCCCACTGGATGCTCTCACCACACTGAGCTGTGACACAGCATGATTCATCAGCAGCATTACAGTATGTGAGCGTGACATGTTCACACTCCTTTGCATGCGTATGCAACACCAGAAACCTTTTAATTAAAACTGCAGGTGTATGTGCACATGGGGCAGAATCCAACCAACACATCTAACCTATACTTCAGGAGGATAGTTTCATCAGCTTCTCCTAGCATTGTGTTCAATCAAAAATACAGTTCCCTGGGATATTCTGAGTAATAGTTTAGCAGAAAATAAAACGGGGGGGAATCTAAGTTCACCCCAGCGTTTGGGGAAGTGGAGGGAGTAGTATCAGATATATGCTCCATCCATAAAAGCATGGAGAATAGCCCTGCTCTGCTCCTCACCTGAAACTGGGCCACCTGTCAGCTAAGGAATGCAAACCTCAGCCTGTGTGGTTTCACAACACAGAGGATCCCAAGGACTCAAACTCAAATGAGGCAAATTTGTTTTTTTATTCTCTGATTATAGCTGTGCTTGAATCTATTGATTTTCTATTGCCTTTGATGAGTGCTGCTCTCCAGAGTCTATGGGAAACCCTGGCAGCTTCAAGAGCAAACAAATAAATTAGTGAAAAGAGATTGCAGACTGAGCCATTAATAATTCTCATTTGTCTTTAGGATTGGATAAAGCCAAATGTATCATATATGCTGTGATGATGGGTGTGTGGCAGACAGCAGTGCCATCACTGGGAGCTTAGGCTCACCCAACCACAGTGAGGGACATTGCATTATCAGTATAAAAGTGCAACCAAAAAGATTTAAAAACCCAGAGATTAAATGCAAAATATGTTTGTGAGAAATATCAGTGTCTCCTAGTACTCAACAGACGCGTGTGGCAGCTGGCTGCATTTTTATTTTGGCATAAGAGAGGGCACAGTAGGAGTCGGTTCCAACAGTTATTTCCCCACACGAGTGTTTTGGGGACATCCTGAAATCAAGAGCAGTGGGTGCTTGTGGGATTCAACCCAACAACCAAATAAAAAAAAAAATCAGGAAAAATAAAAAAAAATCAGGAAAGTGATGTGTAGGGTGAGGTGCTTCTGTGCATCTGGAGAGGAACAGCATCACCAGCCTGAGGAACTCTGGCAGAGATGATGTGAGTAGGTTTCAGGTAGTAGTCATTGAATTGCTAAAACAGGTGATTCCTATCTCCCAATTCAAGTGTTTAGCTAATGCAAATGTTGCTAGCTGGAGGTTTTTTTCCCCCTCTGTTCACAGCTCTGAACTGACTGTATGTGTTTTGTGCAGGCAAGATAAAGTAGTTCCAGGGGAAGTTAAATCCAATGATTCTGCTAAAGAAATGTTTTCATAAAATTGTAGATAATGAGCAAAAGTAAGTGTGCAGAAAAAATTAAATTTAAAAACATGAAGGGTAATTGAGAGTTATGACTTTAGTAAATGTCTTGAACACTGAATTCTCACAGCTGTTTAACAGGATGCTGTAGCCACCTAAAGCCATGCAGAGTCAGAAGAGCCCTCTAAGGCAGTCTGTCTTAAACAGTGGCAATTGATAATGCTAAATATAAATGCAGTTAGGCAGTATGCACACTTGTTGAGGAAGATCAGAAAACTCAATGATCGAACTGTGGGCAAAATTAGAATCAGAATGAGTCATTTAAATTGTGAATCCTGTTAATTTCCTGCAGTTTGATACTATGTTACTGCTTTGAATTGGTTAAAATTTGTGAAATTGGGGTTTGACTCCGTGTGCTCTGATAAAGAACATTTTAGATCAGATAAAACATTTTTTCCCTGTAGGTAGTTACTGGTCACATATTTTGTTTTGATATTTTACTTGAGTAACAGGTAGCTGGAGACTCCAGGCTTCCTACATGTCTCATTTAAAGAACATTCTTTCAAGAACTCAAATCCAAAGGGATGCTATTGCTCCTCTTGGCTTAATGCAGGACTGCCCTTGTTGTTGAGGTGAAATCAGGTCTTTTAAAGAGCAAAGAAGCACACCTGACTGTTTTTCTTAGCTTTTTCCAAAACTTTCCTCAGCTTTTAGTTCATGTTCTTGATGCATGGCTCCTGGAGAAAGAGTGGCATCATTCCTGGGGGAGACAGCTGCCATCCAGCTCCCTTTGTTGTCAGTGGGGGAAGAGTTCTCCTCCTGTGGCAATCCTGTTTCCCTGGCAAGGTCAGGTGAAGACAGCTGAGCATCTTTTTCTCTTTGACTCTAGAAAACTCTAGAGCTAAGCAAAGTGAGATGCATCAGTCTTGGGTGTGTAAATATACACATACAAAATAATGTCATTCCTACTGTTGTATTTCTATTCAGTATTTCCTCTGGTACAGCCAAAAGGAGCTGTCCCTGAGCTGCAGGAGTACATCAGCTGCTATCATCCTCTTTTCTTCCTGTGGTGTTTTTTGTTTCAGTTTGGCTTTTTGTTTGGTTTTGGGTGGGTTTTTTTGTTGTTGTGGTGTTTTTTTGGTGGTTTAAGTGGTGGTTTTTTTGTTTGTTTTGTTTTAGTGGGTTTTTTCTGGGGCGGGGGGGTTTGGTTTGGCTTTTTGTTGGTTTGGGTATTTGATGGGTTTTTTTTCCAAAAATTTTAAGATAGAGGTAGGCTGAGAACTGCTCACTTTTCCAAAAGAGAGAGAGAAAAATATGAAGTCCATATGTCCATATCAGATTGTTCAGTACATTTACAAACTTTATCAGATTTATTTAACTGCTTCTGTTTAAATATCCACCAACAATATTAATTAGCATTAATAACAGTCCCAGTGTTTGAATCCTGTACCATTCCTTCTGATACTTTGATATCATTGACAGACTGGAGAAGAACAGTCACAAACTGCCAGAGGAGTTTAGGTTGGAAGTCCCCTTGAGTTCTCTGATCCAAGCCTAACTCAAATCATGACTTCAAAGCAGTCACTTCCTAAGATAATATTTTATGTTGGCCAAATCCCCTCAATCTTGTAAATGTGCACTTTATTTGTAATACTCATTTGGTCTGGTTCTGTCTCCAAGCACTGGGGTTACTTCTGGCTGTCCCAGGAAGTTAAAGGGCCTCCAGCTAGGAGACTAAAGATCCTTTCTGTTACTGCTTGTAGAAGATGTTGCTTTGCATCTTTTTCTCTTTATTAAACTAATTAGATTGAGCCTCTTTTCTCTCTGGCAGTAAATCATGTCAGCTGGGGAGGTGCTGGCAAGTTCCAGAGTCATCCCTGGTACAACTCTGAATTACCTCCATGAGTAGAGGTCCCACAGCCTGTCTGGACTCTGTGGCAGTGTTAGAGCAATGCCACATCCAGCACCAGCCCTGTGCAGCTCTGCCTCCGTCCTGCTCTGGGGAGGAGACAGCTCTCCCTTCCCGGCCGGTAGCTGGTGCTGGGTTAACCATTAACTCCCAGCTCCAGGGCCTGGTAGGGACAGGCTTTTGTTTTCAGAGCACTGCCAATCTGCTGGCTGTGGCCTTTCCTGTGCTGGTCCCGTGATGTTTCTCCTGGGCTTCTGCTGGGGTCTGAACAGGCAGCTGCAGTGGGCTCGGGGCATGGACAGCGTGAGGGAAGGTGGTCCAGGAGCAGGACACGGCCGTGGTGGTACGGAGGGGACAGGCATGTGAGCAAGGCTGGGTGCACTGGATGCCAGGGTTCCTCTCCAGGTACTGTTTGCTGTGCTCCTTTCAGGGAAGAGCCTGAGAACAAGCACGTGGGATGGTGATTCCCCCACAGGGAGAGAGGTCCTTCAGGAGAGGGTCACAGGGTGCCCAGTGTGCACCAGGAGGGTCCCTGTGGTGGGTGTGGAAGGTGTCTGTCCACAGCCCCGGGCCCCTGCCTGCCTGGAAATGGATCACTTCCAGCCCAGGGGAGTGTGTGAGGTGCTGCTGCCTCCCTGGCTGGCACTGTCTCCTCCCCACACCCTGCTCATCACTTCTTGACACTATGCAATAGGAAACTCCTGCGTCTTTCCTCTGCAGAGGTCCACAAAAATTCTGGAGGTCAAGTCCTGTTCCAAGGCAGACTGCCTGAGCTTCAGGTGCAGATCAGAGAGCTGCAGTCACCATATCTCCACTCAGGTTTGCAGCAGCCCTCGCATGCTTTGGGCCGTGCCTCAGGCCCAGGACAGCACGGTGCTAATGCCGAGTGCCAGAGGGGGACTTCAGATCCTCCCAGCAGCCATTCTGGTCTGCCCAGGGGCCCCTTCCTGCTCCTCCCTCAAAGCACAGAGGGGCTGCTTAAAAAACACCCTGCCAGCTCTGAGCTGGGAAGAGTTCACATTGAGTGTGCCAGAGTGTGCACAATTAGTGTTCTAATTGCTGCTCATGCTCAGCAGCAGCAAGGAGAGGCATAAGCAACTGCTCATCTCCTGGGTGGGTGAGTGGGTGGCAGCTGAGGGCAACAACAGCTTTTGAAATGGGAGGGAGAAACTTGAAACTCTGCTGGTAGAGTGTCCTTGGGATGCAACAACAGCCCAGGTGAGGATTTCTGCTGAGCAGCCTGAGATGCCAGAGAAATACTGGCAGTGTCAAATGGCAGCAGCTCCCAATCCCTTCTGTCCCCCTGTGGGGGGGACACATCCCATCCTCATCCTCATCCTCAGTGGTTACCATATGGCTGGGGTTTGCCTTTCTCTAATTCTGTTTATGGTTCTTGAATCTTCATCACTGAATCTTCGGGAGAGGTGCTGGAAAGAGAGGTGTCTGCTGCATGTGCAGCACCTGAGTCCTGCACGGGTGTGACCCTCTGCAGCCTGGGATGTCACCCGTGAGCAGCTGCACTGACTGTGAGCAGGGGGTGAGGATCCACTGGTGATGCACAAACCACCTGTGCAGACCAGCAGAGGAGGACCCTTCCTGCCCTTGGCTATGGGAACAGGCTGTTTTTGGAAACCCTGTCTAACCAAAGTAAACAGACTCTGGCTCTTCTCTGCAATTTCATTTCACCTAATTTAGTACTCAGAATTGTGTTTAATTAAAAACTTACTTATATAAGCATTTATAGCCTAACTTAAACAGTCTTAAACAGAGCTCTTATATTGATATTGAGCATTTTTTTCTTTCAGGGTGAGATTGCCTCTGCTCAAAGGAACAATAACATACTGGAAATACACAAGGTGTATACCATTCACCCAGACTAAGAAAAGCTTTACTCTAAAAGGAATAAAATAATCATGGCAGAATGTACAGGTTACAAGGAGACCTCAAACCGGCACCTACGCTTCAAATTGCAGAGCCTTAGTCGCCGCCTTGATGAACTGGAGGAAGCAACTAAAAATCTGCAGAAAGCAGAGGATGAATTGCTTGACCTCCAGGACAAAGTTATCCAGGCAGAAGGCAGCAATTCCAGCATGCTGGCTGACATTGAAGCCCTGAGGAAAAGAGTGCTGAAGATTGAAGGCAAGGATGAAGAAATTAGGAAGGCTGAAGAGCTTTGCAGATTAATGAAAGAAAAACTTGAAGAGGAGGAGAGCCTCACTCGAGATCTGAAGTCAGAAATTGAGCTTCTTCAGAGGAGAATGGCAGAGCTGGAGAAGCTGGAGGAGGCTTTCAGCAGGAGCAAGAATGACTGTACACAGCTGTGTCTTAGCCTCAATGAAGAAAAGAACTTGACCAAAAAGATATCTACAGAATTAGAAATACTTAGAGTGAAAGTGAAAGAACTGGAATCATCTGAGGACAGGCTGGATAAAACTGAGCAGACCTTAACAGCTGAGTTAGAAAAGCTGAAGTCCTTAGCTCTGAGCTTTATCACAGAAAGAAAACATTTTAATGAAAGAGAAAAGCAAAATGAAAAAATAATCCAGGAGCTAACACAGAAACTAGAACAAAACAATAAACTAAATAGGGCAGATCAAACTAGAAATGCATCCAACTTGCTAGAAAGGTCATCCAACAATCTCCTGGAAAGAAATGATATGAGAATTGAAGATGACTTGACTTCTGCACTGCCCTCTAAGGAGACCAGGAGGAAGGGAAGTGTGGATTACCTGAAACATGTAGAAAATGAAACCAGGAATAAATCAGAAAACCAAAAGAATAAAAATCAGGAAGACAACAAAGTGAAAGATCTCACCCAAGAAATTGAGAAACTTAAAATTCAGATCAAACATTTTGAATCTTTAGAAGAAGAACTTAAAAAAATGAGAGCCAAAAATAATGATCTGCAAGACAGTTACTTAAGTGAGCAGAATAAAAACAAACTCTTAACAGGTCAGCTAGAGGAAATAAAAATGCAGATAAAGAAACAGAAAGATCTGGAGAATGGAGAAGTTGAAAATGAAGATACAAGCTTTTCTAGCAGGGGAAAGCATGACCGACCTAAATACAGAGGTGTCATGACTGATTTGACAGCTGCTAAGCACAAGCCAAGGGAGCTCTCACCGCAGCAGCGCCGGGAAAGAGCACGAAACAGAGACTTCTCCATCAGTAATGACAGCTACAGCCATAGTGGTAAGCAGGTGCCCAGTCCAAGCTTAATGAACAGAAAAGCAGGGAGAGCTTCTGGTGCATCTGCCTTTTCAGACACTGCTGTCACAGATACAAGAAGATTGGAAGAGAAATCTTTAGTTTCCACTATTTCTTCTGGTCAGAAAGAAAGCTCCATCATGCAGAATGAGGGGAAGAGATCCAAAGAGCAGCCATCTGTCCTCAGCCGATATCCTCCTGCTGCACAGGAGCAGAAGGCTTGGAAAGCACCTTCCAAACCTGTTGGTGATACTAGCCTGAGATCCAAGGCTGAAAAGCCATCTCCGGTGCTCCGTGGCAGCTGCCAAAATGGTGCTGACACACGGGATGAAAGGTCAAGCAAAGGAGAATCAATGGGTTCTTTGGCTGAGAAGCTGAAAACGAGTCAGGCTGAAGTCAGTGAGTGCTTGGGGGACACGCAGCTCACAAGGGGTAACCACACCTCTTCCAATGGCACAGCCTCAGCACACAGGTACCACGTGTCCTCCAGTGTGTCAGACTCTGCTGGCTCTCTGCAGATGGCCACAGGTCTTGATAAAGAAACCACGGAGCAGTCTTCAAGTTCAGCAACTGATCATGTAAATATGGGTTTAAAAAGTGACTCTAAAACCATCCAGAGTAACCAGGAAAAACTTAATTCAGATGAAGAATCAGGGAGAAGTAAAAAACCAACCACTCAGTCAGATTTTGAGACAAGAAAGAAAGTCAGTTCCAAGCAGTTCTCCAATTCTAGGGGAGTTTTTAGAGCATCATTTTTTGAAAATGACCAAAAAACTGTGAATGATGAAGACTCTACCAAGTGCATAAAACCATCAGATGCCAGCACTGCAGGATTGAAATCCAGAAGATCCTTCAGCCCTAGAGAAGCTCTGAGATCAAAAGCCATCATTAAACCAGCAATTGTTGAGAAGGATATGAAAGCAATCATGGGAGGGACTGTTTCAGAGGCAGAATCAGAAAAACAGAAGTCTACTTTTAAAACGGTAACAAATAAAATGACAAGCAGCATCACAATCTTTCCTTCTGAGCCAACAGCTCCAAGGACCACTGCAGATATAGCAGCAAAGGAAAGGCATGTTACCACCAGCAACATCAGAGTTGCTTCAAATGAGCCTTCACCATCAATAACAAACAATGTCCCTTCACCCTTTGAGGTCTCAGTTAACAGAAGTGCTGTGAAGTCATCTGAGACAGACAGAAGTGGAGAGGCAGCGCCGAGAAGTAAAGCTGAAACAGTGGTCTCAAGAAGCAGCATTATGCTGAAGACTTCTGAGCTGGTGGAGAAGAACAGTGAGACACCTTTGGAGACAATCAGCTGGAAGAGCCATGGCTCGTCAGAGGCAGGCTCATCCGAAACAAAGCATGTCACTGTGAGAAGTTCCTGGAGAACAAGACAAGGCCTTCATTCCCTGGAGGACTCTCAAACCAAAGCGGAGAAAAGTGCAACTTTCAGTGCCACAAACTTGTGTAGGTCCTCAGTGGACCTTTTAGAAGAGGAGGGGAATAGTTCAAAAACAGATTTCATGGAGCAGACTTCATCAAGGACGAGTGCTACAGCTAATTCCTGGAGTGCCCCTGAACTGGGGTCCCGAAGGACCAAAAGTAACTTAAGTGCATCTGAGCTGCTGACACGCAGGAGCTGTGCAAATGATCCTGCAGCAGCTGCTGCTTGGCAGCGGACCACACCACCTGTAAGTGTCCTGCATTCAACTCTCTTTCAGTTGATGAGGTTTTCCAAGTTGCCTGTTAGTTGTAGGATGCGTGACTTGAAATTCTTACAGCTTATTTCCTAAGTGCTGCCTCTCCCAGCTCCTGCTGTCTTCCTTCAGTGAATTCACAATTCACAGCGCCCACAGCCTTCTCATATGTGAGTTACCAGATTTAGCCTTATTGAAATGAGATCCATCTGCTTGGGTCTTGTAATGCCATATGAATAACTACATAGTAGCATCAGGGAAGACATAGTCACAGCTTAAGTAGGATGTGGTGTGCTTTTCAGAGTGACTTTGTGTGGCATTTTAAATTTGGAGTAGCAATGAAAAAATGGTGGAAATGAGCAGATTTGAGTGGAGTTGTGTCCGAGGCAGAGTTGTAGCTCTAATGGCAGCTGTAGAGATGGATGGATAGATAGATAGATAGATAGATAGATAGATAGATAGATAGATAGATATAGCTCTTTCTGTTAAGAGCTTCGTGGTTTTCCCATGTAAAACCAGACTCTGGTCTGGAAATGCTTCCTGGGCATCTCCTAAACAGATGGATGGTGGTTGGTAACACAAGGCTACTCCTTCCCTGTTCTGTATCCATATTCTACCTGAAAAGGAGCGAGAGCCACAAGGATAGCTGTGCTCTTTCCCTGTTCCTTTGACTGGTACCAGTGAGGAGAGTCCCTGGAAGCAGTGACACATGCAGGGAGCTGTTCTGGTGAGATGTGCTTGCCGCTGGAGCTGCAGGCTCTGGCAGATTTCAGGTGAACTCCCTGGCAGCACGTACCCTTCTGGCCATTAAAGCCCACACTGGTTTGTGCTGCAGCTCCTGCCTCTGCTGTTCATTTAGCACTACTCTGAGCAGGTGCTGCTATTGCCAGTCTGCAGAAGGAAGCAAGCTGGATAATCTGACAGGGCTGGGGGCAGAGGGGATAGGTTCATAACTGAATGATTTCAGCATTGACAAAGATGCTCAGATGATCTCTGCCTGGTCAACCCAAATATATCCAGGATTAGCTGGCTTCCAACCTTGCCACATGGTTAGTTCACACAGAACTGAGCTCAGGATCTCTCTGCATCATTCTTTGCAATAAAATCACCCCTGGCACCACGTAGTCACAAACCTGACTTCTTGGTCATAGATTGTGTACTTTTAGTTTGTAAATGAGGAGTATGAAATTAACCTGAAAGACTGCAGATACTCAATTATACTAGATATATCAAATTGTATGCAACTTAAATTGTTGCATATGCCCTTGAAAAAAAACCCTTTGAGGAGTATCTTCAGGCTTATAATGTGCCTCATATCAAAGCAGCTTCTTTCTGCTGGGATCTGTGTTTCAGTTAAAGATGTAGCTATTTTCTCTGGCAGAAGGCTGGGTACTGAGCTGTCCTATGAAGGTATTGCTGTCACTCTTTCCAGCTCCACTTTCTACAGTCTGACATTGCCTTGAGAATCTTATATGGGAAATGTGGGATCTGTGCTGTTTTTGCCAAAATCTTCCTCTCTTCCACTGCAACTTCCCTTTGTTTATTGCTGATGTGGGCAAATGTCTCCTATGAAGCTACAGTAGGCATCAACTCTGTAACGCAGCTTTGGGACATCTTTGTAAACGCTGCTTTGGGAGCTGCAGGGAGCAGGAGCTGCTGATGGATGAGTGGGTGCTGCAGCCTGGGGACCAGCTCCCTCTGCTGCTGGCAGCCAGCCTTCTGCGGCTGCCTAAGGACCTGAGGCAATGCAAGACCTCGAGCAGTCAGGGTTCGTGTTTCACAGAGTCAAGTCTGTATTCATCTGGTGTGATGTTGGATGAAAATTAGTGCAAATGTGCTGGCAGGCAGGGAGCAGATGAGCAGCAGCAATGTCAGATGAATGCATGGTTTTCTTGTGCCTCTGACATTAATATGACCAGAGCTGGGGGCTGTCTGCTACATAAATTTGCCAAAATTCTGAAGGTAGGCTTCAAGAGAAGCCGTCACCACCACTTCTGATGGTAGAAGTGCATCTGCTGGAAAAGTCTCCCAGGCAGTGCCCAGGGATGTGCTGCCTCTTGCCCTTTCTCTCCTCTGCTTTAGGGACTAATGTACAGGGCAGGTGTAGGTGCACAGGTGTACACCACATCTGTAGTGGGTGGATCCTGGCTGGATGCCAGGCTCTCACCAAAGCCCCTCTCTATCACTCCCCTCCATAACTGGACAGGAGAGAGAAAACAGAATGAAAGGTTCATGAGTGAGATAAAGGCACGGAGAGATCACCCACAGATCACTGTTGCAAGATGGACTTGACCTGGTGAAATTAATTTAATTTATTACCATCTGTGGCTCCTGGAACTCTTGCCTCACCTTGGCATCTGCAGAGCTGTTCCTTTCTCATGTTCTCTTTTCTCTCCTCCCTGGCCACAATCACTTCTGTGCAATAACTTTTTTTCCTTCTTTCTTATGTTATCCCAGAGATGCTGCTACTTTCTCTGATGGTCTCAGCCTTGGCCAGTGGCAGGTCCATCCCAGAGCCAGCTGGCATTGGGGACATTGAGGGACATGGAGGAAGTTTCTAGAAGCTTCTCACAGAAGCCACCGTGGTAGCTCTTCCCATCCCCTACCAAAACCTTGCCATGCAAACCCAGTTACAGGATCTATCACCATTCACTGCCCCTGACTCCACACAGGCTCTTAAGCAGCCAGCCACACCACATCAGTGGTTTCATCTTTCCTTGAACCTCAGTAGTTTTGTCCAAGGGATCTGTTTTGTTTTGTGACTGCACCCATAATTTGGGTTAAAATTACTGGATGGTTCTTGAGAAAAAAATCTTTATGAAATAGCACATAAATGAGGCCATGCCAGAGCTGGCCTGGTGATTTAAGTCCCTCCTTGCTAAAGGGACTCAAGCCCACACCTTACACTGCAAACCTGGGAATAGGACTCTCATGCTATTCCAGACCCTTCATACACCCTGGGTTCCAACCCTTTTTATTTTCCTTTATACAGGATGAAAGCAAGGATTTTGTGTCCAGTTCCAGAAGGAAGCAGTATGGCTCTTCTGAGTACCTCCTGCAGGCTGACACTCTGGGGAAAAGGATAGCCACCAGGGTGGAGCTGCAGGACCCTGAATCCAGCTCCCCTGCACCACCAGGGCTCCAAGGAGAGGAGCAGGTATGTGAGGCAAGAAGTCAATAATTAATCTGAACTGACCTGCCAGTAATCTAACTCAGAGAAATTGTCCAAAAAGTCTCCACTCTTGTAGGAGAAATCAAGTCTGAAGTTAGCACTCCCAGGGGTGGAGTGGCTGCCGTATTTTCTGTTATAAACTTGTTTCAGCAAGCTTTATGGCTAAGAATATTCTCTGAGAACTAAGTGGCACTGCATGTAGTCATCCTCTAGTCATGAATCAATCAGGGATGGAAAAAAACATTTGGAGAGACAAAAGCAGAGTCCCTGCCTCAGCTGGCAGCTGTACTACTGGAGTGTTTCTCTGCTGCTACACCCCTGCTGCTCTGCCACCTAAAACACATCTTTCTGGACACACAAAGGAGTAAAAAATGGCCTACATCATGATGACTTATTGCTTGAAAAATTAAAAAAAAAAATTGTATTTCAGCCTCTTCACAGGGGCTTCCTTCTGACAATACAGGGATCCAGGCAGATTTCTCAGGTGTACAGTCATGCTTAAATCTGTACAAAATACTTCTTTTTTTCTCCTGGAATTCTCTCCTGGCCCTTTCAGCTGCCCAAAGCAAAGTGCATCTTTCCATTTATAGATCATCCATAGCAGGAAATGTCTAAGACCCCCAACCTGTTGCCAGTTATTTCACTGGACATAGCTGAATCTTGCTATGAGAGCAGCAGGACTGCAGAGAGGCAGCTGGGTGCCCTGCAGAGTCATACTTCACTCTGAGTGGCACAGAATTAAGATCCAGAGGGCTGAGCTCTTCAGACTGACATTTAAAGAAAGGAAGTGTTTGCAGCAGAGAGCAGTGAAGTGACACTGTCCTTGTTGGTAGCTGAGGAAAGAGGCAACCCAGCAATATTCTGTGTGGTCATCAGAAGGTCTAACCCATGGTGCCATTCATCTGGCCATGTGCAGACTCCTCTATCTGAGGCTATGCTGCGCTTCCTTTGCACAGACTGGATCAACAGCAAATAAAAACTTTGGTAAAGTCATCCTTGTAACAGGCACACCATCATTTGGGTCTCCTGTCTTGCCCAGACCTCCACTGACTGTAGGAGCCCGACACGAGGTGTGCTCCAGCTCCTGTTGCCAGATGTTCTGCATTTCACTTCAGGACCCACATGCTGGGTGTGGAAATGGGTAAATGACAGCACGGGAAGAGCTCAGAACCTCAGCCTGCAGCAGGCAGGGCAGGGTCCCTCTGCTTTGGGCTTACTCCCAGCTGACAGAGCCTGTCTTCCAAACTCTTCCTGTCACTGCTCTTCCCCACAGCACCTTGGCACTGTGATCCTGGTGGGATTTGGGATGGCTGCCAAGGGCAGTTGCAATCTTGTCTGCAGAGCAGAAATGCTCCAGGGGCAGCTGTGGCTTGAGGGCAGTGTGTGACCTCGTGGGTTTGTCTCTTCCAGGGCACTGCCCGGGCTTCCCGGACGTCTCGGAGATGAGCAGCATTCCCTTCCTCTCAGTGACCACGGTGAAGCAAGGGGCAGGGCAGTACCAAGCTCACAGGCATCACACCTGTTTGTAACCTCTCCAGAGGCTTCAACTAGCCTGAAACCAGTTTTGTAAAGCGATTTGAAAGGTACAGGAGCTTTACCAGTGAATTCTTTTTCTTCATTGCTGAAGAGGCAGCTGCAGAGACTTTGCTCAGGGGACTCCCACTTCTCATCTCTGTACCTGCAAACTTCATCTTCCCTGTAGGACGATAGGTCTGTCTCCATATGGAAACTCTGACTACCTACCCTCTCTGAACAATGGTACTCCTTGCACAACAGAGAACTTTTTATTCACTTGTGTTCACACAAGATCCCAGAGGTGTGATCACATCCACCAGCCCGTGACATCCACCACAACTGAAAGCTTTCAGTTCATATGGAGTTTGCATTCTCCTAATATTAAAATAATTCGTATCAACTTGCTGCCTGGGGTAGTGGTCACCTCAGTACCTGTGTTTCCAGCACCCTTTGTCTCTAGGCAAGAGGAGACCATTCCCCACTGGTTACTTTACAAATTGAGAGGGAAGGAGAGCAGGAAATGTTTAGGAGTTGGTTCCCTATCACTGTCAGTCTCTGCAACAAGCTTTGCATGATCTACTCATCACCAGTTGAGATCCTGCACCAAGAAGTCATCCACTGAGCCAAACAACACAGCAGCAACACCTCCTCCTGCCTGGGACCAGGGTACCATTTATCTGAAGCTTTTATGTGTTACACTGCAAGCAACAACTCTGTGGCTTGTGCAAGGCAGTTGAGCCCTAAGAGAAAAAGAAACAAGTGCTTTTCTTCATAGACAAGCAGAATGTCCTTGTTCCTTCCCAAAACAGGGTGGAGACAGCTGAGTGCCTGTGCTGCACCTCCTTGTGCCACAGCTCCTCCCTGGCCTGGGAAATACACACCTCAATTCTGAGAAGAAAAATTAATTAAGAAAAAATAAAATAAAAAAAATAGAGCTGGTTGCAAAATATCTATGAAAACATTTCTATAAAAGGGATGTGTTTTAGTGACATGATTATTTTTTTTATAAAGGTTGTTTGGAGGAAGGGAAGAATTATTTTTGAAAAAAAATGTTTCTTTTTGGAATTTTAAAGATGTTTTCCTAAGTGTATATTTTTAACCCTTCATTTTATTCTGTTACATGTCATGACATATGTGTCAATTTGCCTAAGAAGACAAAAAGATAATGCTTTTAAATTAGTATTGAGTGGCAGCTCTAATAATCTTTATATTCAAATGTATCAACTGCTCTCTTACCATTGACATGGTAGTGCTAGTAGAATGAGATAATGGGAAAAAAATTTAAACTCCAAACTAAAAATGAAAGAAAGTGAAATTCTGAAGCTAAATTCAGACTTCTGAATTGCCTCCCCCTGCTTATCAGGAAGGACTGGAAATTCTTATGGATTGTGCAGTCTGAAACCACAATGGATGGAACAGTCCTGTGCAATGGCTGTATCCTTCCTGAGCCCCCTGCTCTGCTCAGCACTCAGGGCTGTCAGGTCAGGCTGCACTGCCTGAGCAGCAGCAGCTTCTCCTGTCCTGTGTGCTCAGCTCTGCTCTGCTCTGCACCCACAGGCTGCTGCCTCTGCCCCTCCTAAAGAAATCTGCCAAATGCCTCAGTACCTGCTTGCTTACCCCGGGAGCAGCTGGGAGGCATCTTGGCACGTACCTGCCTCTTCAGATGTCACAGGGATTCCCTTTCTGCACATTCCCAAACCTGCTGCTGAGCAGCTCTCCAGCTGTGTCACCTGTCCCAGCAGTTGTGGAAGAGCCACTGCTGGGCACTGCTGTTCCAGCTCCAGAAACCCAGCGTGGTGTGGGCTCCCCTGCCCTCAGTCACTGCTGCCCAGGACTTGCAGCTTGTACAAACTGCAGGACAGCGCCTGCACACAGAGAAGGACAAGGATCGCCTTGGGCAGTGACTGAACGGCTTTCCTCAGTCCCATCCTGCTGCAGGCCACGGCTCCACGTTCCACAGGAGCTCCCCACACATCCACCAGCTTCCTCCTCCTCGCCTTGCTGGCACGGATGTGGCTTAGCACGGTGCTCCCAAAGAGCCTTCCAAGGGAAGCGGCTTCAGCTGTGGTGAGGAAAACTCTGCATCCCTGTGATTCAACATGTGAACAGGTTTCCCTGTGCCTACCCACCAAACATGGGCTTACCATCAGCTTTTCAACCCCACTGCTCATCCCAGGAACACAGCCCCATGTCTCAAGTGCAAGGGAAGAACCACCAGCAGCAATAGCTGTTGGGTTTTCTCCTCCTGTCAGCCAGGACCAGGCTTTGCCCGAGGAACGGGAGGGCTTTACCCTGCTGCTCAGCTGGCTTAGCCCCAGCTACTGCCCCAGCAACACAGCGCTGCTGGCACTGTCTTCAGGTGCTTCTCACAGATGATGTCTCTCCTTTCTCCAGCTGCCTCAGTTATCTGTTCAATATTTTACAGCAGATACCTTGAACTCCTGCTCTAGACTCAGTTTCACTGCTTGTAAATACTGGACACAGATGTCACTTGGTAACTGCACATGGGTTGTTTTTACCACAGCTGAGATTAAACCTGAGAAAGAAAACCCTACCTAGTATGGAAAGGGGCCATGCCCTCTAGTCAATGAGTGCAATAGGAGCTGATTGTATTATTAATCTTATAGCAATGACTTCAGGAAACACAATGTGTTTACTCGAATTGCACACTTTTTTTAACAGCTGTAAAATAGAGTATATGTGTAAATATTGCCATCACTGAAGAAGTATTTGTAATTTTAGCATATAAATATAACAGGCTTTTCAGTAGGCTTGATGATGCACAAGGCCATGCATCGAGCCCTCGGGTAATTCCAAAGTTGTAAATGTATTTGCTGTACAGAGGAAGTGTGTCAGTTCTTGCTGCTCCCAAGGAACCTCAGCTGCTGGTCCCTTTTGGAGAGCCAGTGCTTTCCCCACAAGGGCTGGCTCCAGTCTGAGGGCCCAGCAGCTCCCTGCTTCATGGAACGGCTTCCTTCATGTCCAGAACACCTCTGCAGCCCACAGAGCTGCCTGTCCAACTCCTGGCAGGGTGTGGGGTGACAGCTTGGCCCCGCAGCCTCCCGGGGACAGGACCGCAGCAAGGGCAAGGGCAGGAAGCACAGGGCAGAGCCACGGGCCTTGGTGCTTCAAGAGACACTTGACACAAGCAATTTCCTAGCTACAGATCGAAGCAATAGTCACATTGGTGTCGTCTCTAACGTAGTAGACCTCATCTCTGCCACCCTTGCACACTGCTGAAGCAATCAGGGCACTGCTCCAGGCCAGCCTCCCGCAGGCTGTGCCACAGAACACAAAGCCATTGTTTGCAGATGCCTCCAATGGTCAGAACCAGGGCCCAAAGGATCCTCCTGGGCTGCCCCACGTGCAGTGCCGGCTCCTGCTTTGGGGAAGCAGCACTCCAGGCTGCATGGAATGTATTTTTAAGAGAATAAATCTATTTTTTTGTATTTGTGAACATATATTTGGGTGGGGCAGCTTAGTTAGAAGACAAATAATGCAAGAAATCTTTTCATAATCACAGGTTTATCCAAGTTAAGCAGATTTTCCAGGGTTGCAGTATTGCCTTTTCCCCTAAAATAAACTTTGTGTCCAATAGAGCTATGAGCAGTGTTCCACCCTCTTAGAACTTGTCCTGTCTCAGCATGCTGAGTAGAGGAAAGCCAGTGCTTTCCTCCCCAGGCTGCCCACGCAGTGGATACAGATGGTGCTCACCTCCTTCCAGTGACACAGTGCTCTTAGTCTGCATGCCAAATGTAAACACACACTTACTGCATGTCTCTCCTGACTCAAACACTGTCAGTATACAGTATATAACCAATAAACACTTCTCTTTTTACATGGTGTGATGTGGTGTTTACAGCAGTGCCCATTGCTAGGGGTGCTGCAGCCCCTGGGAGAGGCACTGAGGCTGCAGAGTGTGTGTGTGTCTGTGTGTGTGTCTGTCTCTGTGTGCTGTGGGGTGGTTCAGTGTTGGAGCTGAGGACCTTGCACTTTGTTTTGTGCCTTGGTTGAGGCAGATCTCACACAGCCATTCCAGGCTGCATTTCAGGCACATCCAGTTGTACACAGCCACTCTGCACTGATGCTCCCTGAGCTGGACATGGCATTGCTGAGGAAGGGGGGAGGAAGGGCATTACTACAGAGTAAAATAAATCACTTGGTTGGAGTTCTTTCACAATTTGCCAGTATTGATTGTGCAGGCAGAGTTAGCACAGATAGAAGTAGAATTAAGAGCTGTCACATACAGGATGAGCCCATGTACAACTCGAAATACATTGATTTGCAAGGGGTGCACCATACTTTACAGGAAAAAAAAATCTTTCCCTTGTATTTGGTTTATTCTGGTTGCAAGACTGGACATGTTTTCAGAAGCTTTATAAATTGGGTTATTATGGATGGGCACTTTTGGAGTCATCCATAGCTGTCACTTCAGCTGCTGCTCCCTGGGTAGAGCTCATTAATGCAAGGTGAAGTCCTACAGAGATAACGGCTGTTAAATATTTGTCGTAGAAAACTGAATTTGGCTTGGCTGAGCCCTTTCTGTCCCAGTTCACACAGGCAGCTACTGAACTTCATTAAAGAGGTGGTTGTTTACCTGTGGCTACAAAAACACTGCTGTGTGGGGCCTACTAAGAGCAGCAGAGAGCTGTAGATGTGCCAGTGGTGTTATTCTCCAAAGCTGCCACGTCTGCTCTCAGTCAGTTCTGTGGCTCCAGCTCTAGCACAGAGCAGAGGGGGATTCTTTCTCACCACTGAGGATGTGTACTGGACCAGTGGCCACCCACCATGGCATTGCTGCTCAATAGCCAGAAAACCTCGCTTTTTCCAACTTTTATTCAATGCTTTTTTCAACTGTGATCTTTTTGATCAGCCACGTATGCTTGCTTCAATGTGTTAAGGCGGTCCTCCTGTTGCCTACAAGCAGGTGTACTGACTACTCGAGCTGCAAACCTCTTTGCCTCAGCTGCAGCCGTGAGAAGTTTGCTGCTGTAAATCACCTTTGTTGGTGAGATGTTGAGCCAGACCCTGTGTGCTGCCCTGCCCCATGCCCAGGCAGTCAGTGCCTCCTGCTCCGAGCTCCTGATAAACTGCTCACAGAAGGTCAAGCAGTGTTGCACATTTACCTCCAGAATCACATGCAGAGCTGCAGCTGACAGCTCCCCTTCACTCTGATTCCTGACCTTGTAAACAGCTGCTCAACACCATTGCCACACCCCAAGCCTGATGCTCAGAGCCCTGCAGAGAGGCCGGGAGCACCCAGCAGCTCTGGAGCCAGTCCTGCTGACCTCGGGCTGCTTTCAGTGTGCAGCACTGCTGCTCACTGGCACAGGGCACTCTGCCTGCCTGGATCCAGTCACTTGTTCCCAGCAGCCTTCCTTCTGGCAGCTTCCTAGTGTTCTTATCCTTGTTATCTTCACTAACTTGCTTTTCAATCCAAGGGTCTGCAACACAGACTCACTTCCTTGCTGTCAGCAGTTGCACAGATGAACATACACAATTGTTTCCATGGTTTTGTAGCAGAGGCTTGAGACAATAAATCCAAATGATTCCCAGTACAAATATTGATTCTAGCCACCATCCTACTCGTGCTGAAGCTTCCTGCCACCCCCTTTGCTGGTTTCTTGGAATATATTTCCACCACCTGTGGGACATGGACCCTTTCTCAAAGACAGGCCATAGAGAGGGCAGAGACAAATTACAGGCTAATCCCAAAATAGGTGGATATAACGAAGAATACAGGTGTCTGTCAGGGCAGGCCTATGCTACATGAGGGGTTCTAGGAGCACTACATGTTCATGAGCCTGGTGTCACAGATACCAGCTGGACAAAGAGTGTCACCAGTTCCGCTGCAGGTAAAGGCAGGGGGTCACAGCCAGACAGTGATACTGTAGCAGCAGTCAGCCCTGTGCCAGACAAAGGCATTTTACCCATGGTCCTACCATCTAACAGCAGCTCCAAAGCAGGGATTTCCAGGCTGGGGATGTCCTATCATTCACCCCATCCCAACCAGCATTGCCTGTTCTGGTCCCTGTTAAAGGACAAGCATTGGCATTCCAGTTCTGTGCCCTGGGATGATCGTTTCTGTCTCCTTTGGGATTAACACACCAGGAAGCATTCAGTGGTTTCATGTACTGCAACAGGTGGTCAGCAGTATAGCACCAGGCACGTCACACAGAGTTCACCTCAGGACATTGGAACACAGTTCAGTACCTTTTCTTTTGTTGGAAGTATTTAATAAAACAGTATGCTTAGCATACTCAGTGCTACCAGGTTACTCTACAGCAGGATGCAGATGGTGTAGCAGCCAATGAACCATTTTAGAGAGATGTGATTTGCTGTTACTGGTAGGCAAACAGTTGCCCCAAATTCTTGAATGCCAGACAGGAATAGAATTGGTCAAAAATAGTACTCTTCAAAACAAAGTCATTAAAAAAAACCCAGAAAGAAATTTACATACATTCTACACTAAGCTAGTATTCATAGCAACCAGCTTCTAGAGGCCCTTGTGCAATTACCAAACTGTAAATACACACATAGGTAGAAAAAAACCCCAAACACCCTAGAAAACCCTCCAGCTATTTTGACTTCCAAGAAGTATCTGCAGAGTCAAAGTCCCTGACCAGCTTTGCAGTAAAGGGTTCTGTTTACACTGACCCATCAAATAGCTCAAAGATTTTGTAAAAGGCTGCCAAGCCAAAGGTCCAGCGAGCTTCTGTAAGGCCGTTCTCAGACAAGGCTTGCACAATAACCCGGGCTGCTCTCAGCAGACGCTGCTACAAACTACGAGGATCTCCATCCTGGGCTCCACAGCGGCAGCACCGTGGCCTCTGCGCTCCTCTTCTGCCGCCTCCCTGTTCCCTCACAGGCTGGCAGCCTGCTGGGGGGGCACACCGGGCGTGGGCTGCCGGGGCAGGGTGTACATGGCCCCCAGGAACTGGTCGGCGATGCGGCCGGCCTCCCGCAGCCCGCTGAGCAGCGCGCCGTGCACCGTGGCGGGGTAGTTGCGGATGGTGTGTTCACCCGCGAAGAACAGGCGAGGGATGGGCTGTGGGGAAACGACAGCAGGGGTTTTGCTCGGGTGTTTTCAGATTTTGCAGCAAACAATACTTTAAGAATGTTAAAAGTCCTCTGAGCACAATCTCCATGAATGTCAAGGTGGTGCATAAAAGGCCAAACTGAACCCATTTTAAGCTGTGTACAAATTACCAAGAAAATAAAGCTCTATTTGATAAGCAATGTTTGCAGAGCCAGAGAGGCAGAGGAGGGTCATGTCCCTGCTCTCACTGTAACTCTACTATCAAACATGCTTAGGAAGAATACTTTCTAATCCTGGAACATGAACTCATAGCGCAGTAAGCAAACAAAAGCTTCAACATCTCACTTAAATCAGCAGTTTCTCTTTAAACTGAGACCTTAAACTACCCACAGAACTATAACAAGTGGGAGAAAAATAACTGTTGTGTATTACATTCTGCAGGGAATAATTTTTCATAGCTGTGTGTATTAATCGCTTTTATCATTAGAACAAGAACTCAAATAAAGCCAAAGCCACACAGCTTTTCCCAGCAGTGCTTTCAAACCTAATTCCCTCAACATGATCTGGAGATGACTCCTGCCTTCCCTGTGTTGGCCCCCACATTTGGAAGAGACATTTTATTCCTGTTTTTCTCACTCTGGCCTTCACCCTCTTTCAAATCACTACAACTCACTTAAATGTGGTGATGGACAACAAAAATATGGAGTATGAAATACAGGTATAATATTAACTACTCTGTTCAGACATAACCAAATATGAATAAAAATGAATATAATATTAATTTGCTGAATAAAAGATGAGCTTTCTGAATAAAAATGCTCTTTTTTTTTAGCAAACAAATGGCACCAAACCGGTGATGACAGAATTCATGAATGAAAACATTAACTATTTTACAGGTCTTAATCATCCATCATAAAATACAAGTTATCTAAACTTTTGTTTAGGTATGTACGCAAATTACTCAGAAGAATAATTCTGTTTTGAGGTTTTTCTAAAAATAACTAGGACATTTCTCACCTGTGGAGCACCTGGAATGGCTGGCCCTGGAGTAATTGGCTGAGCCATCAAATCATAGTCATTTCCAGAGGATCCAGCAGCTACGTAGGAGTAGGACCCCCGGGCCCACGGGTCAGCACGCCAGCGGGACACCACCGTCTCTTTAGGCTGAGACAAGACAGGAGCTTCAGGTGTTGAGAAAGTGCAAATTCTACAGCTTGTGACAAATACAAACAATGCAAATTGCAACAATATAAGGGACAAAGTCCTTGGGCTGATGTCAGTGGTGGAACTCCACATTTATATTCTGTGATAACACAAATTAATCTTTGATGGCAATTCCTTAAATCTTTTCAGTATATTACCAGACTCTACTGCTTGTAGATCCTCAGTTGGAACTCATTTCCAGCTGCACACACCTGCTGTGTGTGTACTGTTTCCTCTGTTTATTCTCCCATTATCAACATGATGACAACACATGTTGATAAGGTTGATAATATTGATAATTCCCTCTCCTTCAGCCCGAGCTGTACTGACCTGGGGCACAGCGCTGCTGCCAAAGATGCCTTTGAGAATGGCAAGGCACCGACCAACAATGACATCATCACTGATATTCTCCATGATCCCTGCTGCTTCTCCTGCTACCAAGGCCAACAAAATCGGTGCTGTGGGGATGCAGGAGAGAAAAAAAAAATAAATTGAATTATTAAAATTGAACATTTTGATCAGACAAGTTGAACTTGGATAAACATGGATCTGCAGTTAAGCCATGAGGTTAAGATTTAGATTAAACAAATCCAACA